AAATATTACACTTGGATCTAAGTGTGTGCGTGACTCATCAACTAGACAGTTAAACATCGTTGTCTTTGCTAGGCAGTTCCAGAAATACTAGTTATATTGTTCTTACTTTATTAATGTAAAACAGCATTTACCAGTTCAAAGATGTTACAGATGGCTACACTCCCCATTTCTCTCTTTTTTGTTGAAGTTGTAATCACGCAAAATAGATGACAGTGACTATAGTACTTTGACATTGAGAAAATAAGATCGGATCAGGAATAAATAGATACAGCATTACCTAAAGATAATAATACTATGCAAAAAATAGAAAAATGTAGACTACCAGTCAAACGTTTTTAGATCATCCCAGTCTTTCCAAAATGTATTCTAAACCTTTGACTAATCAAAGTAGCCATGTTTGGCAGATATTATCACTGAACACACCTGTGGCATTCTTTCTACAATAGACATAAAATATTCTTCAGAGAGTTCTTCACATATCTGTTGCAGAAGTTCCCATAAACATGCAGCACCTGTAGGTTGCTTTGCTTTCACTCTTCTGTCTAGTTCATCCCAAACTAGCTCGATGTGGTTTACGTCTGAAGACTGTGCTGGCCACTTCATGGTTTCAAGCTTACCATCTTGTTCTTTTTTCCTGGTGTAGTTCTGGAACAGCTTGGACTACATTTTGGGTCATTATCTTGCTGTAGGATGAACCCCTGACCAACTAGGCACATACCAGAGGGTATTGCATGGATAAGCAGAATGCTGTCGTAGGCGTTTTGGTTCAGGGCGACTCTGTGCAAGTCACCGATCCTGGATCCAGCAAAACAGCCCCAGACCATCACAGGTCCTCCTCCATGGTTGACAGTTGATGCCACCCACTGTGGAACTATCCTTCTGCCTACTCGACAACGTACCAGCTGTCAGAATAAAAGTCACTTTAGCAGGAATTAGATGCAAAACCACAGTCCATGGGTCATAAACTAGAAGGTTTTGGTCTGATATGCTTTATGTTCATTCTTAATAGACCCAAACTTCTGTAATCAAGTTACTAATCCAGAGTTTGTTTCCCAGGTTTAGTGAAATCAGCTGCAATTGCATCGATGACTATTTTCTTTTTGGCTATCGTAATCCTCTCTGCAGTCATATTCATCAGGTGAGCAGATCAGTTTTTAAAACTAACTACAATTAGTTCTTCACTGTTGTCATCCAAAGATTCCTGAAATTCCAATGCTCGTTGTTCAATGTTCGTTCTCTCTTCTGTATAGAAAAACGAGGCCCTTAAAAGTCATTTTCTCCAAAGACAGGACAAACAGCATCGCACAGGTAAGGAAGAAAAGGTGACTAAAAGGTCATCACACATAAGATAAATACAAAACTAATGTGAAAGAGCTGTACTGTAGGAGTATCTCTGGTTATGGCTGCACACAGTTGTCCCAACTGAGGATTGGTTCTTAGTTTACTATCGATCTACATCCCTACCCTCACATATGATCACAAGTGATCACAATTGTGGATACAAGCAATTGGAAATGAGC